TGAGGAAACCTACATTCTAATTCAGAATATGCCACTAACTCACTTTGTGATTCTGGGCATCTAGGTGGTGCAGTGGATAGAGTTCCAAGACTGAAGTCAGGAAGACCTGAGTTGAAATTCAACATCAGATACTTAGTAGTTGTGTAAAGCTGAGCAAGTCACGTAATCTTTGTTTGCCTCAATTTCCTCATCTGTAACATGAGGATAATAATAGCATCTACCCTTCCAGGGTTGTTTGCGAGGCTCAAATGAGATCATTGTAAACTTCCTGGCATTAAATAGACGCTATATAAGTGTTAGCTGCTATGATTATTATTATTATTATTACTTATTTCCCTGAGCCTTAGTTACCTCATCTGTAAAATAAAGGATTGGATTAGATGATCTCTAAGAATACTTCTAGTTCCTACACTCTAAGGTATGGATATTAATTCAAGCTCAGTTCCCATTTACAGTGATGGAAGAAGATAGCTTTTTTATTCCTGTCTGTAATGTTTATTGATTAAAGCTAACGCTCAGGTATCAAGCAATTAGACACTATAGCACAGCAGGATTTGGAAATTCTGAATACAGTTCCATGATTTGAGGTCTATCTTATCAAGTATCTGTAGGGAAGCTTAGTGACTTGTGTGGCAGTGTCCTATTCCATAAAATCAGAATATTGATGTGAACCTGCTTTGTGGAGTCATCATGGAATTGAATTTAGCCTTTTAAAGCCCTTGGATAACCATGATCTGAAGATTGATTTTGTATAGGGTACCTATAATAATGACTTTCAACCTGCTTCCATGGTTATTTCTAAACTAGTTTCAAGACACAAGGTTGGGCTCCACAGAAGCACTCAGTGCGCTTCCTTCCCAAACCTCCCTCCTGCCCCCATTATCCAATTTGTTATGCACTCTGATTTCATAAGAGCCAGTATTATAAATTTTGCTTAACAAAGCAAACTACTCCCAGTGATTTTTTTTTTAATTTCATAAGCTTTTTTAAAAGCACTGACAAAACTGGCACTTCACTTATGGGAAAATTTTGCAAAATTGCCCTGACTAAAAGTGATTTTTGTTTTGACTTTCCTGTGAAGTCATCCAAAAAAACCCAAATGGCTGCCATTGCTTTGTGTATAGAACTTTTCACATAGACCGTACTTGTCCACCAGCCAAATCAGTTAATTCAGGTCATGGAGTGACACATTTATCCACGTATTGGAACTCTGCAAAGAAGCTAAAGTCACGAAATCCGTATGTGCACTCGTTTTATAGACAGACTAAACTAAATGGTATTACAGTAAAGGAAACTTTGTATTAATGTCCTTGAGAATGGGGTTTCCTGAATGGCTCCCCTCCCTTCCCCCCCATCCCACTCCCCTTTCAGTAGGAAAGGCAGTTGCTTAGTGATTACAAGGACGACATCACTTGGTGAGTATTTTGGACTGAACTCAGCATGTGACATCAGGTTCCTTTAGGGTTTTCCACATAAAATGAATTCTCCAAAGAAAACACAGAAATTTAGCCTTAATTTGAAATCCATTATTACATCCTCTAAGGTCTCATTAGCCACCTCAATAAAGTGTTTTCTAGTTTTTATTTTATTTCCAGGCAGATGTTCGTAAATGTTGCACATAATCATGGTAAACTTTTGCAGTACTTTTTAGGATTTTGGTCACATAGTTCATAGAATCAAATATTTAGAGCTGAAAGAAACCTTAAAGGTCATTTAGTCCGTCCCTATCATTTTTCAGCTGAGGAAACTGGGGTTCATGTTTCGTAATTTGCTTAAGGTGCCACAAGTAGAAAATTAGCATAAAATAAAAGTTCTTCTATCTAGAAATCTGTCTTTCCAGACCATTTTCACTTTTGTCCCCCTCATTCGTGCTATGATCCAGCCAAACTCTTCTAATTACTGTTTCTTATACAGAATTTTCCATCTCTTACCTTTCTGTCTTTGCATAAGTTGTCTCCCATTACCTAATAGGCCCTTCTCTCTTTACTCCTGCTTTTCTGGGAGAACTGAGGTCCTCATCCCTCAAAAGCCATCTATATTTTCCTTTGTCTCTCAGATGAGATAACCCTTGTTTTTTGCCTTCCCTTCTCACCCTGTCCTTTTTAGAATGCTTAACTTTATTTTTTTTACATTTAATTTTTTCTCAATTACATGTAAACAAAAATTTTTTTTCATATTTGTTTTTAAAAATTCTGAGTTCCAAATTCTCTATACATAACTTTCTCTTAAAATACAACTCATGTGTCACTTTTCTGAGGCCTTTTCTGATCCCATCCCCCAGTTGTTAATACTTTTCTCCTCCCAAAAAATTGTTTATTCATTATATATTTTGTATTTACTTATCTGTTTATATGTTGAATGTAAATTCAATAGAATATAAACTTGAGGACAGACACTCTCATTTTTATCTTTGTATCTCCAGCTTCTAGGATAGGGCCTGGTACATAGCAAATGCTCGACAAAATGCTCAGAATTCAATTGAATTGAATTTCTCTTCCTCCCTTTTAATGGAGATTTGTAATACCTTTGTATTCTTCAGTATGGAAATCTGTATTTTTTTTTCTGTGTAATTCATATCACATAACTTGTGGAGAAAATGAAATTTATCTTAAGGGGTCAGTGTTCTTAATACTTCTGTGCAGGGTTGTTTTGAGTCCTTGAGAAGAAACAGCTCAATTAAAATGTAAAAGCAGTTTGAGTTGCTTTGTTGCTTCTTTGATAGTGAATATTTTATATTTCATAGAATGACCAAGAAAAAAGCCAAGGTCTCTCATTTCTTTTAGTTGTAGGTCTATAGTTATTTATCTGAAAGCTTTAAAACTTTAAAAAAAAACTTGTTTTCTTTCTTCTCTTACCTCGAAGGTTATGTAGGGCTTATTTTCATAATTTGATGCAGATAGCCTCAGGGAAGGTTAAAATCATGTATGTCAGATTCAGTGTTTGCAGTCAACCTGAGAAAGGAGTCACATGCTCGAAATGCCAAGATGTGTGACTCACGATGTGATACAGGGGAAGCCACGGGGGAATTATCTATGCATCATGTGAGTGGAGAATAGGTTTAACATTCTCACACCCAAACATTTCCATCTGGAAGTTGTTCCTAAGCAAATGATACAGTATTCTCCTATCTTCTCCAGTAGCAACCCAGGGAGGGAAAGACTCTTCAGTCATTTTTTTCCTATTCCTTCTGGATGACATTCAGTTTAATCATTCCTCCAAGTTGGAGGGAACGGCTAATTTTTGTCCATCGAAAAGTCAGAAATCCTAGGCATGAGACATCTTAATCCCATTTATTGCATTTTTATTTGCAGAAATATTATCCCTTTTGAGTTGATTCCAAGTTGTACACTTTAAACCCATGTCATTTTTGTCCATCTACCTTTTTAAAAAGTTTGTTTCCATCTCTGTTCTTTCACACTGCCTTCTGAGTTAAATAAATTTACCACATCTGCCCATCACACTTAACACTCTCACCCACACTTCCATAGATCCCACTTCCTCTGGATGCCCCTCACCAAAAGTTCCTCTGAATTGTGGACTGAGACTTTGATTTTATGGTAGAGAACTCCTGGGTGGGTGGGTGGGGGATCCTTCAGCTAATCCTGATGGGTTCCAGCTCTGCAGTTCAGAGCCTTAAAGAGTTTCCTAGGGAACTGAGAGCTTAAGTGATTTGCCCACTGTCATTTTGACAATTAAGTACATATCCAGAGATAGGCTTCAACCCACATCTGTCTAACTCCTAGACTATCTCCAAAGCCATACTACCTCTCAGGCCTGGATGATAATAGTAATGAAGCAGTAGACATTAGAACCATGCATTTAAGGGTTGCTTCCTACCCTGTCTGACTCTCAATTGCCTTATCTGTCTCTGTTAATATAGCTAGGCCCAGGGCAATGACAGTCCATGGCTCTTGGTGTTCCTCTGGGTCAGCATTTTGGCAGTGTTCAGTAAATGTTTGTGATAATGAGACATGAAAGATGATGTCTGTGTTCAGCAAGTTATTGCTAGACAACTGTTAAAGCTAAATGAGGCCATGAATGCCAAACCACGGAGGTCCAAAATAATATTTGATATAACATTGTTTCTTTATTTGGCAAATGCAGTATTGTGATGACTGAGACAAAAATCTCCTTGCCACCAGAATTTTTACTTTTTTTTTTTTCTAAATCAGGTCTAATATACATTTAAAAGTCCATACTGGCTAGCTAACAAGACAACCACAGACTCCTGGGCAGGTAATAAACCTATTCTGAGAATAGAAAAATATGCCAGATGTGTGAAGGACATGGGAATTGCTGGCAGCAAGGGTTTATATCTTTTGCCAGTTCATCTGTATTTGAGTAGACGTTTCTGTACCATGTGTTGCCAATTGATTACAGAATTGTTGTTGTTCAGTCCTTTTCAGTCATGTTTGACTCTTAATGATCCTATTTGGCACTTTCTTGGCAAAGATACTGGAGTGGCTTGCTGTTTCCTTCTCCATCTCTTTTTACAGATGAAGAAACTAAGAGAAACAAGGTTAAGTGACTTGCCCAGGGTCACCCAGGTAGTAAGTGTCTGAGACTGGATTTGAACTCAGGAAGAGGAGTCTACCCACTGTGCTACCTAGCTGCCCTTGATTACAGAATTATAGATAGATAAATAAATAAAGTAGAAGAAATCACTCATTTAACTCCTACCTCCATGGTGTACTTAAGTACATTTTCCATTCAATTTTGTGAAAAAATAGTATCAATTTACTATTGATGCCCTCAATTATGTCTTTCTTCAGATATTCATAGAAATGAATAATTCCCACTGTAAACTTACTCTAAAGTGCTACTATCATTTATTTAGAGTACCAAGAGAAGGTGATAATTATACTTTCAATGAAACATGAATCCCAGTACTTTCAAAAAACAAGTCAGAGTGGAATGTTAAGATGGGACACAACCATCACTCCATTGCTTAGTTGTAAGATTTTGAAGTATTTTAACCATCATTTTAGAAAAAAGCTTACCTTTCCTGCTCCTTTTCCATCAAATTTATGAATTCATCACTCTTCTCCACATATTCTGTGTGTTTTCTTTTTTCTTCCTCTAACTCCAATATTGTTTGTCTGTGAGCTTTTCCAACCATCAAAAGCTGTTCCAGCATTCGTTTGTAAGACGCTTTCTGTTTTTCAACAACCTTGTCCAACTATAAAGGAAAAGAAGCAATAACAATTCCTACAGTATCTGCCACAGCAAATTATTCATATCCTTCTTGAGGTACGCATTTTGACTTGATCAGTTATTGACTTTCATATACGTATTTCTTGACTCTAAAGAATTCATTCTGAGGGGGTGCATCTAACTCCATGGAAGCACTTTTATTGGCATCTTGTTTATTCATCTGGTTGTCAAACCTGTGGCTCCCAGAAAGAAGAAAAAAAGAATTTATTATCTCTGTTTTCTTTGGGTTTTCGGACACAGTTCATGCACCTGCCTCTTTCTAGAAAAATTAAACCTGTGGAAACCATAGAGGGCAAAATCTTATGAGCATGTTTTCATTCTTTGGAAACTTTGGCCTTTCACCATATTCATCATAGCTGTTCTCTTCCTTCTCCTGAGAGCTCTTAGAACCATGCTAAATATGCGTCTCTGGATCCATTGACCTCTCCAGGGTTCAGTTTCTCATCTGTAAAATGAAGGGGCTGGACCGGCTGACCGCCAAGATCCCATTCATCACTAAGTCTATAAAACTATGACTCATTTTATTGATTTGCATGTCAGGATGGTGATTTAGGATTATCAGGGGCCAAGTTTTATTGGCTTTAGGAATTTAAAATAAAAACAATAGTTTGAACAAATAATAGATTACAGAATTATAGAATTCTATAATGTAATGAAACTTTAAAAGCTCACCTTTTGTTAGATTCACATTATGGTCATCGAGAAATTAGATGTTTTCCCTAGATTTTATGTGAGAATTTTGTGTTATCAAGGGTAAATAGGAAGGCGCAGCTGGAAAGAAAGAAATCTTGGTTTTAAATATCTTAAGACAGTGATTGCCTTGTATGATGTTGAAGTATGATTATCTTTTCAGTAAAACTAAGTCTGATCCTCTTTAGTCATTCATATGTACACCTAATTTAGGGAACTTCTTTTTAACAGAGGTCATGTTTTCCACATTGCTTGGTTTTCCACAAAGCTCACTGCTCAAAACCTGTGAGAAACTGAAATATTAGAGTAAGTGGCCAGGAGTGAGGTTATGAATTTACTCTGTAGGATGTAAAACCACATTTGTTTACCTTTCTGAGGAGGTAGACAGGGGGTGTTGACTGAAATGAGGGAAATGAGATATAAAGTATCTTCTCCAAGTCCTGCAGCATCTCCTCTCTCCCTCCTTCCCCTTTCCTTTCCTGAAATGACTTGGAGACATTGTTTCCAAAAAAACCCTGTTATTTGATTAAGTTGCTAGACTCAAATTATTGGACTCGACTTTTTTTTTTAATAGCAGAATCCCTACAATTCCTTGTTTTGAGAATTGCTAGCACCTACCAAATGTGGACTGGTTCTTCCCTGTTAGCAAGAGTGGAATGGCAGAAGGAAAGATTTTGGGATGAGGCTTGAAGTACAAATGATAATTTTTTTTTCCTGTATGTGGAATAAAATTTGATGGCTCAAGGACCATCTCCTCCAACCCTTTCCTGATTCCCTAACTGCTAGTACCTTCCCTCCCCCAAATTACCTTGTATATGTTTTGTATATAACCGTACATGTACATGTCATCTCATCCAAGAGTACATAAGTTACTCCAAGGAAGGGACTGTTGCATTTTTCTGTTTGTGTCCCCCCACGGTGCCTACCTGGCACAGAGTAGGTACTTCATAAATGCTTTTGATTAGTTGATTGTAGCAGTGAGAGGCTTCTAAAATTCTCTCTTTTTTAAGGCAACTGGGGTTAAGTGACTTGTCCAGTGTCACACAGCTAGTAAGTGTCAAGTGTTGGTCTGAGGCCAGATTTGAACTCGGGTCCTCCTGATTTCAGGGCCAGTGCTCTATCTACTGCGACACCTAGCTGCCCCTAAAATTCTCTATACTGAGTAATTTTAAGAGAATTTTCCTAAAGCTCTTTTGCTCATTTTGAATGATTAGTTTATTTAAGGTTGATATATGGTTTCATTGATTGTGTAGGTGATATAACTCCAAAATGCAAGCTCCAATAGTTCTTTGCCATTTCACCCAAACCTTAATTATTTTTTTTCTAAATAGACTAAGTTTTTCATGTAGAAGTGAAGCTCTGAGATGAGCAGGAACATATATATTCCTTTCACAGCTACCATCCTTACCACCCCACCCCAATCCTAGTTCTACTGTATTTTCCCCAGTAAATTCTACTGATTTAAAAGAGATTCTTTACATTTAAAGGTACATAATATGCAGATCTAGGCTCGTGTGTCAAATATTACACTTTTAAAGTTGGGTTATATGGCAAAGAGCTATTAGAGGCTACATTTGGGGCAGTTATGTCACCTTCACAAAAATTGAGACCATATATCAACCTTAAATAAACTAATCATTTAAAATATTATGTAACTCTCAATAACTGGAGTATCTTGAGGTACAATTTTTAGCAGTCTCACCAATGTGTTTAATAAACATGTCGTTTATTTTTAGCAATGTAAAATATACATAAATATAGCAAAATTAATTTTGGTGAAAGCCATACTTCTTTCAGTAGGTTAAAGATTTTAATTATGGCCCTGTAGGTATTCTCTCGCCCTTCAGACATCACAAACGTTTATAACTCAGGTACTCTCAATGTTACTGTGGCTGAACAATTCATCCTGTGACCACCCCTGGTGGTGAGTCCCTCCTAACATAACAAGGCTGGCCCTCAAACAACAGACTTATATGTTGAACCACCCAGGACTATAATTAAATCCTTTCCAGCTTGGTAGGACTTTGTATTCTGCTCTGTTGGCATGGCCTTTGAGAATCCAGGGTCACCTCCGTGTCCCCAAGAGGCATCAGGGGAGCCCTTTAGGAGATGGGAGTCAGAACTGCTCTAAATCTGTAAAAATCTGTTATCTGAAATGTTGCATGCCTTTAGAGGCAATGTGGTGTAGTAGTAGAAATCAGAAAGTCTGAGGTCTTGTTTTGGCTTTCTTAGGCAGGCCAGTCTCCATTTCTCTACCTGCCAAAGGAAGGGGTTCTATAGACTTTTAAATTTCCATTTCTGTTCCATGATCCTAATATACCAGTGAGTAACAGGTTGGAAGTTTAATTCCAGGCCTGCTGACCATCATTATATTATTCTTTTCTCCACCCTATACCCCAAATAATAATTAATAATAATAGCTGGCATTAATATAACACTGTTTGCAAAGTGCTGTACATAAGTTATTTTATTTTATTCTCCCAACAGCCCTATAAGGTAAGTATTATTATTATTATTATTATTATTATTATTATTATTATTATCCCCATTTAACAGATGAAATAATGGAGGCTGATGGTTAAGTGACTTTCCCAGGGTCTCACAGCTAGTAACATGTCTGAGGGAGTATTTGAACTCAAGTCTTCTCAGTTCCAAGTCTAGCACTCTAGACTGACTTCTAAAATCACCATTTTGAATCTCCACCCCAAAGCTGGCAGCCACTCTTACTAAATTGGCTTTTATGAATTGCTGGAGTTTTTGTTTGTTTGTTTGTTTGTTTTAAATTCATCACCCAGTGGTCATCTGTCTGGTTATGAATCTTCCCAAACCTAACTAGACTACTTGTTGAATAACAGTCGTGGTTCATCGCTGGACCTATACTTGAAGCCTTTCCAGGGAGGAATATTTTTGTTTGGAAAGTTAGAGGGATGGTAAATGGAGCTTTAATGGAGTATACTGGCACATGTTTTTGCAGGAACAATGAGAAGGTTGATTTGGTTATGGTTGTAGAACTGGAAAGAGGAGAACACAAGACATAGGAGAATGGATACCATGGCAGTTGCTTGGGAAAAATTAAGGAAATGATGTGAAGTATGTCTAGAACGCTAGGCCTAGAAGCAACTGACGCAACCACTAATATGGATGGTGGAGGGAATTAGGGGATGGGGCAAGAATGAGAATTCTGATCCTGAAAGATTAAGTCCTCCAGAGTTTGATGTATAGATCTGGGAACATGGTGGCTGGTGAAGTAATATAGTAGAAAGAGCTCTGCCAGAAGAGATACGGATTCAAATTCCACCCTTAACACTTAATAGCTGTACAACCATACATAAGTCATTTATTTCTCTGACCCTCGGTTTCTGTATCTGTAAAATAGTAATAATAACCATTGTACCTGCCTTACAGGGTTGTTGTGAGGATCAAATGAAATAACACATGTAAAGTGCCTTAATGCTATAATTATCTAACATATTGTTATGCTATATAATATGTAATATGATGCTGTAATAGAATACAATTATATAATATGTAATAATATAATGCTATTACTAATATAATCTATAACTATCTTAACCTGCCTTCTATTTCCTCTCTATGTACCCAAATCCTTGGAAGCTCAGCTCAGGCCTCAAAAAGCTTTCTTCCTCGACTATCCCAGCTCATGTTGATCTGTGTCCTTTCTGAATTTCTGTGCTACTTATTGTTTGTACTACAGAGAATACTGCTTTATTATTTTGTGTATGCATGGTTTGTCATCTAGACTGTGAACTTCCTGAGAGCACAGAGCATGTGTTATGTTCCTTGTGACAGTCCCTGGAGAATCTTAAAACTTAGTTCTTCTGCATAGTTAGAGCTCCATAGCTACTTATTGGTTAGTTGATTGACATACATGATGTATAGCTCTCGTGGTTCTTTCTCCTGAGCTCCTACCACACAGTATTTTTATGTATTATATAATATGTTATATGTATAGTATATAATATTTATATGTAATATAATGTATATTTCTATATACACATGTATACATATATGTAATTACACACTAAAGTGTGTAAACTCAATTTGCATATTTCGTTATTAAGTATTTGATTGATGGCTATAGAAATAAATGAAATGATCTACATGGGACACATAAAGCACATAAATTCCTGTGTAAACTCCAGAAATAAAGGTAATTTGAATTTAGTGTACATGTTACATCTGTTATTCTCTTGGTTGTTACTTTATATTCATGTATAATTACCTGTCTACAATATTACCTGTTCTAATGCCTCA